TTGTGTGCGTGTGTGTGTGTGTGTGTGTGTGTGTGTGTGTAAATTTCATCAGTTCACCAAATTTTTCATTTCGTTGCATCTATCAACAGGTTTTTCCGTACGATAACTGCAGTAACCGCAATAGTGATAGCAACAGCACCAAATACACCAATGACATCAGTAGAATGCAATTTTTGGAAGTTTCATAGCTTTCGAGGAGTCATCGTTATCATTATATCGACATCACCATCACCACCAACATCATTTCATCGCCGTTGTTGTTGTTGTTAGTGTAATGATGATAGCAATGATGATGCTCGTAACAATGTTGTAACTTTTTGCGAACAAAAATTTTTTTTTTGCTCACTTATGAACTCCAATTTTTTTTCTTCCCTCTTTGTTATCTTTTAACTCTCCTTCTTTTTCTTCCTTATTGTTTTTTTATTTCTTATTCTTCAAACAATTCATTAGTTTATTCATTTGCTTATTCATCTACTGATCCGTTCATCTATCCATCTATCTATCTTTTTAGCCAACCAACCAACCAACCATCCATCCATCCATTCCGTCTGTCCGTTCGTCTGTACGTTTGTCCATTTATCCATCCGTCCATCCATCTACCCCTCTTGGCTGTAGATTGTTTTGATCGTTTGTTTAGCAACAACAACAACAACAACAACAGCAGCAACAATAGCAGCAACAACGGCAACAAAATCATCATTGGCATACAGTGGAAACAAAAGAAATAAAGAAAAAGAATATATATTCCAAGTTTTGAAACTAAGAGAAATTGCTTATTTAAAGCATTTAAACAAAATTTTTCAGTTTTTAATGTGTCTCGCTTTGGCGCTACCGTTTTACTTAGACAGAAAAATTCACAAATGATATTGCTGCATTCTTCCTTGTCGTCTTCTTTTTTTCCTCCTTTTCACCTTCTTTTTTCTTTTTTTTTTGCTTCAAAATTTAAAAACTGAACAATTTAACAACTACTTGCCAACAAACAAAAAACAATACAATGTTTAAGTTCAACTGTTTTCTCATGTTTTTGTTGTTGTTGTTATATAATCGTTCATTTATCTTCAATCAAATTTCTGAGCAACAGCATACTTATCAGCTTTTTCAAATGAGATCTTCGTTCCCCTCCTCTCCCCTTCTTCCCCGCCCTTCTCCCCTTTTTCCTCCTGAATTAAAAAACTGTTTTTTGTAATGCCAACCGAAGATTAATTTGCCACCATCATCGCCAATGAGAGAATAAGAGAAAAAATGACCCTCCAAAGTTATCCCCCTGATTCCTTCATTAATAAAAAAGTCAAAAAATTTTTAATTCTAAAAATAAACTCATAAATCTTTGTAAGACAGTATTTAGCTTTTTCTGACCAAGATATCTTTGCCAGTTTGCATTCAAACCGAGTGCCTGTTGCAGTTACGTTTTCTCGTATATAACAGTAGAGAACCGTTTTTTGCTCTTACTTTTTCTTCTATCTTTTTTTTTCTGCTTTTTTGCTTTTTTCCCACTTTCTATGCTTACAGATTTATTGCTCAAAAAGATCTCTTCTATTTATTAAATTTAATAAATTTTTTAAAGAAAGTTGTTTATGTCAACGTTGTTCCAACTGTTTCCATATCACTCTGGGACTACGCGTCTTCCTCAGATCCTCTCTATCACTCCGCCTGTTTCATCGGCCAGTATACCTTCAACAAAGCCCAGAATTCTCGTCTATCATCAACCCATTTATTCACTCATCTATCCATCCACCCATCTGTTCACTCATTCGTATTTATATATATGTATATGTGTATATATATATATTTATTCATTTATTCTCAAATATATCATAAAATTTAAAAAAAACCAGTGGTTATTTTGTCAGTTTTGTTGAAGCGGTTGAGCCAAGGTGGAAAACTGGATGTTTAATAGTGAAAGTTAGCGTTTAGATAATTAAAGAAGTGAATAAAAAGGTTTATCAAAAAAGATGATGTTCTAGTATAATAGTATTATGCTAACCAAAAGCGGCAGGACTACCAGTCGTTAGCGACCTGACAGCCAAACGAAGTCGTTTGCCAGTTGCCGTTAATGTTGTTGTTATTGGTGCTGTTGCTTGGCTATTTAGTCAGTTAGACCTTTCAGTGTGCAAGTTAATAAACCACCAAACAATAATAAGCTGAAGAATTGTTAATATTTCAGAAGTTCAAGATTCAGGGGGTATTAGAAAGAATTAAAATGAGGGGGAGAGAGGAGAGGCGGGGACAGGGGGTCTAAGGGGAAAAAGTTTTTTGTTCTCCCTTCTAACCATTGCGTGCGGCTTTTGTTTATCTTATAGTGTTACTTCGGAAAAATGGGCGGAGATCCTGGAAATGCTGTTAGGAATATAGCCACAAATTGTACTTTTTCTGCTGCTGCTCGCTTGCCTTCGTATTGGGGTGTATATT